GGCAGTAACAACAAGTATTTTTCAAGTTTAACTTTTGATATCAACAGCGATGACAAATCAGAGTCAACTGTCCATGCAAGGATCTCCTTCTAGACTCAGTGATATGTTGAGGTCAAAAATACCCATATTCATTCACAAGATGAGATTATCTAAATGGATAGGATGTGGGAGGCAGAGGGAGTGGGAGAGAAGTGGGAACTGAGAATTAGCTTTCTCTTTTCATTTTGGGGATCAAGCAATGGTGTGCAACCTTCATTTATCTCATGGGTCCTCATAGAAATATCTAGTTATTGCATCTGTTGCTGTTTCTAAGACAGAATTTAATTATGTATAACAAGTCATGTAACTTTTCTTCACAATCTTGTAGAAAGAGTAGGACAGGAAAAGAGAAAGTATGAGAAGAGAGGGAGATACTTATGAAAAAATGAAGTTCAAACATAACTGCAGTCAAGTGCATGTTCGTTCTGTTTTTTTAATGCTTTCTCTCCATGGATAGCAGTTCCTTTGTGGAAACTCTAGATTAATACGCTAAGCAGACATACTTGACAAAGAATAAAAAATATGGGCTGGGAAGGTGGCTCAGTGGTAGAGCTCCTGCCTTGCATGCATGAGGCCCTGGGTTCGATTCCTCAGCACCACATAAGCAAAAAGAAAAATGGAAGTGGCACTGTGGCTCAAGTGGTAGAGCACTAGCCTTGAGCTGAAGAGCTGAGGGAAAGCGCCCAGGTCCAGAGTTCAGGCCCCACAACCGGACCCCCCCTCCAAAAAAAAACACCTTGGGGAAAGCATTTAGGATCAAGTATTCAAATATGTGAAGGCCTTTTGAAATTTTAAAATTATTTTTAAATAATGAATTAGTAGGAGTAATAATATAATCCCCAAATATATTCACTACATCTCCATTATCTAAATAATGAAGCACAAGGAAATTAATAAAATTTAAAACACAGCATAATAATCAGCATATTAAAGATCTATTTTTTTCACTTGTCTTTCTAATCTCTAATTGGCTTACCAATAAAAGTGTTTGTATGATTTAGATATAATTTTAAGGATTTTAATTTAAAAATAAATATTTAAAATTACCACTAAGATATCTACAAATAAATAAGGGGAATTTGCTTATAAATTCTGAAATTTGATGATAAATTCTGATCTTTGTGGTAATTTTTTTTGGGGGGGTCCGGTCGTGGGGCCTGAACTCTGGGCCTGGGTGCTGTCCCTCAGCTCTTCAGCTCAAGGCTAGCACTCTACCACTTGAGCCACAGCGCCACTTCCGGCTTTTTTCTTTTTGCTTATGTGGTGCTGAGGAATCGAACCCAGGGCCTCATGCATGCAAGGCAAGCGCTCTACCACTGAGCCACCTTCCCAGCTCTTTTTTTTCCTTTTTACCAGAAGGATTTTCTATCATGAGGTATGGAAGAGATATGAGGCATATAATTTAAGAAAAAAGTAATTCTGTATATTAGGTGGTTTTAAAAGTCCCAAAATGTCCTGTTTTCGTGCCAAAAGTAAAGTGATTTTTAGTGAACTATTCATAGGACATTAATTATATATTGATGCTTTCTACAAAATATCAAAAGATAGATCACCAAATTGTACACAGTTCTAAAAAATAAAGTTAGGCAAACTTAACTTCAAGGCAGAATGAGCTGAGGAATTCTCAATCAGGATGTAAACATTCAAACTGAGAAAGTGTGTAATAAATGATTTCATAAACTATAGTGGATCCAACAATGTTTAATTTTGAGTCACCTGCAGAAAGCTAAAGTTAACACAAAAATGTTCAGGAAAGCTTAAGAATTGAAGGAAGCAAGCCATTGATAACAGTCTGTTCAGAGGATAACCTTTGTCCTGAACAGCAGTTAATGCTACACCTACTAGGTAGATGTGGAAGAGGCACTGTACTAAGGCAGGTCAGATGAAATGCAGGGGAAGACAATCCAAGGCCCCTTCACTAAAGTTTTCCCCCTCACATTTTAGGCTTTAATTTCCTGGAAACAGAGAGGAACTCAAATTCTAATTACCCATATACTTCAAAGCTTTGGTATTTACTTATTTTACTTCTGGGACTTCAGAAAGCAGTAGTTCTGTGGAAAGGTAAATAGAAAAAAGATAGTAACATTTTAGAGGATTTAACATACATATATGTGTGTGTGTGTGTGTGCATGTGAAATGACCATAAGATATAACCATAATTGTTGCATGGGCAATAACCATAAGGCATCTGTAATGAATTGTTTTTACAAATTTCTCTTTTGCTTTCACTTTTTCATGCTTATATCTGTGGTATTTCAGCTAAGTGCACTACAAATAATTTCCATTTCCCCTAACTTAGATACTTTAGTACACTCAAAGAGTTTAAAAAACTATCACAAATGTTAAGAATTCCTTTCCCAAATCTTTTTTAAACAAATCCTAGTTATGATTTGAATTCATGTGATTCAGTCTTTCTTTTTTTTTTTTGTCAGTTGTGGGGCTTGAACTCTGGGCCTGGGCACTGTCCTTCAGCTCTTCAGCTCAAGGCAAGCGCTCTACCACTTGAGCTACAGCGCCACTTCCAGTTTTCTGGTGGTTTATTGGAGATAGGAGTCTCACAGTCTTTCCTGCCTGGGCTGGCTTTGAACCGTGATTCTCAGATCTCAGCCTCCTGAGTAGCTAGTATTACAGGCGTGAGCCACCAGCGCCCGGCGATTCAGTCTTTCTTAAGTTGACTAGCTAAGATTGATTTATATTAGTGATTTAATGGGAACACAAGAATAAGATTGTGCAATATGGTGCAAGAATTTCTTACAACTAAATCATATCTGATCATTGACGTAACTCACATTTTATTAACTATGCGCAGCCCTGTGAGTTATTTTTATGTATGCCTAACCTGAGAGACAGAGGTGGCAATTGCTGAAAATGCTCATTATAATCCAGTGAACTATAGCCAAAACCAGTATCACATTTCCAATAGCTTATTTCAGGTATGAGGCACAGTCGTAGCAAGCACACAGTGTTGATCTGTGTGACAGTAATTGTAATGCCAATGCCAGTTGATATGACTGCATTGACAGAAACAGTAATGAGGTAGGCAACATGATTCATGGTAAGGAGTGTGTTGAAGGGTAATTGGTGAAATTATATTAGTGACCATGTAATTCTAGGCCTTTAACCTGAAGAAATATAACAATCAATACTTGTGTGTATCTTGGACTCTGAGACTCCAAATTTATATGTCAAAGTCTGCTTCAAAGATGAGGAGATGGTTTCTAAGTCCTATCTCAGCTATAGCAATGCAATCTAGATCTAGTCTATATAAGAATTTTGAGCCAGGCATGGGTGGCTCACACCTGTAATCCTAACTACTCAGGAGGCTGAGGTCTGAGGATCATGGTTCAAAGCTATGCCTGGGCAGCAAAGTCCACAAGACTCTTATCTCCAATTAATCACCCGAAAACCAAAAGTGGAACTGTGACTCAAAATGGTAGAGTACTAGCCTTGAGCAAAAGAGCTCAGGGACAGTGTCCAAGCCTGAAGTTTAAGCCCATGACCAACAAAAACAAAAACAAAAGCTAAGAATATTAAAGTTTGAGTATCACAATGCTGGGCTGTATAATTTCTTTAAATGCAAGAGTGTTAGTTTGCAAGAACTACTGGAAGCATTAAGAATGATAGTCATGAATGTGCTGTTCCTGAACAGTGGCCTCAAAGCAGTAGCACAAATTCCTGCTCAGGAAACATATAAATCATTCTGTAATTGCCTCACAAATGATCAAAAGCTTGGATGTAAAATCTGACATTTTACAGAGCCTGCTTCAATAAAGAATAAAAGATTTGTGTTCTGTGATGATCAACAGTGTTCCTTACTACGTATCAGTCTGTCATAACAGGAACCAACCTTTACTCAGATGTTTCAACTGAAGAGATTTTATTGAAGACACTATTTACAGAAGTTGGGACTAGATTTAGGGCTGGATTTGGATGGAGGAGGGGGGAAAAAAAGAAGGGAAAGACAAGGATGACCTTGGGCACTTGCAGCAGTAAGGAACAGACTTGAATCAATAAGGATAGGAAATCATGTTTGCAGAACCCAATGGAAGCCTTGGAAGGAATCTTGGAAGTTCAAATCTACTGTCAGAAGTCCACCAGAAGCATGGAGTATAAGGGTCACCAGCGCGGCCCTGGAAGTCTCCAGGCACTCACAAACATTCCTCTGCTTGGGTTAGTCTATGCCAGACCCCCTTCTACTCAAATCGCTTTATGTTCCCATTCGAAACAGAAATTCCTACCCGTACTCCCCAGAACTGCCTAGTCCTAGTCCCCTCTGCCACCCCAAACCATCCTAGAGCTAGATCCATTCCCTACCCATGACACACGTCTGTCTAGGTCGCTAGGCCCACACCTTGCAAAGGAGATGTGGCTATGGTGAGCATTCAGCGTCCTTCCCACTAAGACCCTGGACCCCAGTGCCTCTGGCCCAGCTGCCAACCCAGCCGTCAAATCCGCAGTCATTTCCCACAGTACTGATGAATGAAGGAACAGGATTTTTAAAAGTGAATGTTGTGGGCGGCTAACCAGGAAAACAAGAGGAACAATGCGGAGTCCTTTCCTTCCTGGCCCTCCCATCTGACTCATCACGCTCCACTTGTGACGTGGTGGACGCCGGGCTCTGCAGGCGTGGGATGCCCTCGCCTGCCCTAGAAGCCTGGAGGCGTCACCCCGCCTCTCCGCGCCACAGCCACCGTCCTAGGGGAAACTAGGGGGCGGGGACCTGGCAGATGCTGAGCTCCAGGGCTTCCAGGCCAGGCCGTCGCCCGGGCTCTGCCTTCCTCTCGGGTGACCTCCGCCGTCCTCCCGGCCCGGGGCTCTGGCGCTGAGCCCGCGCCCAGACGCCTGGCACCCCTGTTCTAGCCCGCGGCGCCCCTCCACGCCTCCCCGCGCGGCTCGTGTTCCTCCTCCTCCTCCCCCCTCCCCCTCTCTCTCCTCCCTCTTCCGTTTCTCGAGGGAAAGACTGTAAGCCTTCTTCCCCCCTCTGCATCCCCGGCTTAGGTAATACGTTTCCTCCTTACGCCACCGACACCCTCGGGTCCCCGCCGCCCGGGCTTCCCCATCCTCCTCCTCGGATCTGGGTGCCCGGCGCTGGCCGGGCGGCGCGCGCGCTCCCCCGCGTCTCCGCAGGGCAGGTGAGTCAAACAGGCCGGGCGGACTCCCGGCCTGGGGCGCCCCGGCCTGCGGGGTGAGGGGTGCGGGGTGGGGGTGGGGGGGGACCCGGCCTGGCCCTGCCCACCCGGGCAGCGCCGCCGCGATCATCCGCGGGGAGGAACTCGAGGGTCCCCGCGGTCCCCCGGCTCTGCAGAAGCCATCGGAGAGAAATCCGCGCGGGGAGGAAAGGAGTGGCGGGCAAACTTGAATTTGTATTTCTTTCAAGTCGTCTCCTTAGCAGGTCTAGGTAGGAGAAGCTGATCTGACACTTGTCAGAGCCGTGGTTCAGCAGGTAGAGGGCGCCGCTGGCAGCGCCCTGGCCCCGTCGCACAGGCTTTTCAGAGCCGCTTCCCAGGTAGACACTGCCCGCGGCCCCCAGACCTACCTGATGCCCTGCGCTTAGGAACATCTTTACCTCCTTGCTTTTCGTTCTCTCTGCCTTTTGAGGTGTGGGTTCGTGAGTCGTAGACAGTGGGTGCACACTGTATGTAGGTGGAAAGATGCTCAGCCTAGAATCACCTAGGGTGTTAGACACAAATGGTAAAAGAGAATGCCTGGATTACTTAGGACGCGCGCGCGTGCACACACACACACACACACACACACACACACACACACACACACAGTCACTCTAACCCAGCACATTGTGGAGCCTCTCAGTTTTTAACCTAGTCTTAAGGTGTGGAATAAGCAGAGGTTTGTCCCCTGTGTAGAACATTTGTATCTTTTTAGTACTTTGAACTTTTCAAATAAACGGTATTATATTCTTTTATTAGTTTATGTTCCTTTAGAGGAAAATGTTTCACTTGAAATGTGTGTCTTCCATCAAACAGTTTATAAACATCTTTAATAATAAACACTTTTTCTACAAAGTGGAAGAGTAAATAGAAATCTTAACAGTTATACTGCTAGTCCCATCCATGATGCATAACATAATCTGTAAGCTCTACTTTATAATTATAACATTTGGGGGATGTATATTAGATCAAATAACTCATTTATGATTGCAGAAATAATCATCATCATCTTGTAAAAGCTTATAATTCTGGCTTTCTGATTGTTTTAATTCTAAAGTTTTTGTAATGAGTAATCCTTTACAGATTAATTTTGCTGCAAGAAAATCCTTTTAAATAGGTTTATCTTTAGTGGAATGAGAACTTGTGGATTTCTAGAACTCCCACTGTGTGTCATGGGGGAGATGGAATGTGTTTCTTGCTCTCAAAGCAATCTACAGCCTTAAAGTGAAGAACAGTAGATGCCCCAAGAAATGACTTGATTGAGGAGCTTTAGGCTCTTCTTGTAAAGTGCACTAATCTCTTTGTTTACACCCAGATTACTGAATAGAAATGCATAGTCTATTAAAAATTAGTTTAACTGCTACACAAAATCAGTGTCAAGACAAATAGCCTAGGGCCTTTCTTTTAAAATAATTTTCATGACTCTATTGAAGCTTCTCTTCAATCAGCAAATATTTATTATGCTCTTATTAGTGCCAAATGCCTTTGAAATGTGCATTTCCTTGAGACTCTAGTTTTGTTCTATAAAATATATATAACATGAATTTACCATTTAACCATTTCCTTCCCTTCCCTCCCTTCCTCCCTCCCTCTCTTCCTCCCTCCCTCCCTCCCTCCTGCTTCCTTCCTTCCTTCCTTCCTTTCTTCCTTCCTTCCTTCCTTCCTTCCTTCTTTCCTTCCTTCCTTCCTTCCATTCTTCCTTTCTTCCTTCCTTTCCTTTCTTTCTTTCTTCCTTCCTTCCTTCCTTCCTTTCTTTCTTTCTTTCTTTCTTTCTTTCTTTCTTTCTTTCTTTCTTTCTTTCTTTCTTTCTTTCTTTCTTTCTTTCTTC